TGATTTCTGTGTAAGCTCAGAACTCGCAATGATCACATTAGGTTAAAAAATCTGTCAGACAATCAGTCATAAAGCATGTTCAGTGCACTGTGGGAAGAAATACACCTACACCAAGTGAAGTCACAGAATGATGCAGACTGTATGCAGAACAAACTGACAACATAATGTAAGGCCAAAAGCAGTTAATTTGTTTTTATTCCACATATATTTTTATGGCAGAGAAGTACTCATGGAGGTAGGTGTAGGTGCTGCTGTCCTCCAGGTGGAGGTGGTGTAGCAGCAGCAGAGCAGCAGGTCTGTGAAGGTTTCTGATGGAGTAAAAAGACAGAGCAGCAGCATTGAAGCTGTTGTGTGATGTAAAGATATAATGTTGGAGTGTGTGTGCTGTGACTGTAGTTCACTGGTGGGTGTAAAAAGACCGGGTCTCGTTGTGTTACTCAGGCTGCACTACAGCGTCTATTCACGGGCGCGATCCCACTACTGAGCGGCACGGGGGCTTTGACCTGCTCCGTTTCCGACCTGGACCGGTGCACCCCTCCTTAGACGACCTGCTGGTCCCGGGCTCCCCCAGGAGCACCATATCGATACCGAACTTAGTGCGGACACCCGATCAGCGTAGCCCGCTGCAGCTCAGAGCTCCTGAGCTCAAACGATCCTCCAGCCTCAGCCTCCCGGTAACTTGGATTACAGGCGCGCGCCACCGCACCCGGCGATGAACGTGTCCGTTCACCAGGCTTTAGACTTTGGTGTCGTGACGTCATCACGGAGCACTGCAGCGTCGGATAATACAACTACAGCTGCAGCGATGGAAACTGTTTTCACTGCTAAAACGCTATAATGTTTGATTTCATCTCATCATAAATTTGGTTATTTTAATGTACATTCCGTTCACACTCTGCAGTGAACGTGCCTGCACCACAGTCAGACTCGGTACAGTCCCTAAATAACTGAGAAAGTACACAAACACATATGCCTTGAAGTCTGACTCATGAAAAATCCAGGCCATCATCACATTCATCAGCTGCTCGAGATTATTTTGTCCTTTCAAAGACCGTGGACGCTGTAGAACATAAGTGCAAACCTGAAATGAATCACAAAAAGTATGACCAAAAATATCCAGTTGTCACACACACAAAATAAACTTAATCTCAGAGTTATAGGATACAATAGGACCAATATGTTTTGAAACTCTGTAATCTGGGAAAGAGAATTGCAAATTTATAACCACTCAAATAAAAAGCCACTACACCTGTGCCAACAAGATACCTAAATCCAGTTTAACCTCTCTATTAATGTTTCGAATTTGATTTTAAAGAGCTGTCACATAACTGTGGTAAAAAGCAGGAGAGTACAATATGACTCTCAAGTCACTCAGTTTCACAAAAAATAAAAAGCCTGAGCAGTCCATGTACTAATGGAGGGGGATGAAGAGACAATCATGTTTGTTTTGGTATTTTAGCACTGCTGTGTACATAGAGTCAAGTCCCTTTGCAGTGATAAATGACAAATAAGAACGTTTGTATAGTAAGTAAAATACTTTGAAGCATTTCCTGGTGTGGTCCAGATCTTTTTACTGTAATACTTCAGTGATTCAGACAGGCCTGTGCAAAGCTCTTTGCCGCCACCTGCAGGACAGCTGGAGAAGTCTCTGCTGTACTCAGTGGAGATAATGTCAAGGATGTGATACGTCTACCATAAAGACTAGAAGCAGGGGGGAATTACTAGCCTAACTCCGCAAAAAGTGAAAAAATAAACCTTGAAACTACCCAGAAACTGTCTGATTTACATGTTATATTCTCTTAGTTAGCAAACTAGCTGCCACACCATAAAAAGCACAAACTTGTTGCTGTTCAGAAAATAAATCAGCCCATAAGGTCTGATTTTTTATTTGTTAAACAAGAAGAATAAGAAACAACACTTAGACAGTTTTTCGGCTGTTGGAAGATGTTTTTCACAGCTAAGCTAACAGTTTCCAACTGCTACTATTTTAGTATTTGAGCTAGGCTAAACATCCTGTACTGGTTGTACAGAGATGAAACTGACAACAACATTTCCTAAAATATATGTGGTTCTGAAAAAAGTAATTTTGTATGAGGTTTAGCTGAGAGTAGCCTGCATATCGTTGTAGCATTATTAATTTTGGTTAAGGAAAGCGTCTAAATGCTTCTAGTTACCTAGTGGACGGATTGCGTATACATTCTAAACTTTGTAATAAATGCTCACATGCTGTAGTTATGACAACACTTATGTTACTTATATCAACAAATTTTAGAACTGCTTAGTTTTGAAATGAGGGGACAGAGTCAGCTGGCATTTGAAAACAACAAGAAATTTCAGGTTAACTCCAGGTTATAAAACTGATCAAAACCAACCAAGATGTTTCTACTGCACTGTTTTCAGCAAAAGGTTTGTTTCACTCATGAAATGTACATTTCTCTGTAGATTTTGTGCCATTCATGTGAACTTGTGAGTTGGAAAAGTTGCCATGTTCAGACTTTCATTGAGTTTTAAAGTCTTGTAGATACTTTCTAAGATGTAGGGTTGTAGAGCTGTAAATGCACAATATTCTTCTGTCAGCATTTCACGTATTTTCCCTTTTTCTGAGCAGAAACAAGAAACACCTGTGGATGATTTTGTGGCAGATGATCACAAACAGCATCTCAGCTCTCAGACAGAGTAAGTAAATTCAATTATTTTGCTCCTGTCCTAACAACTTTGAACTTCCACAGTCAGTTTCATTACCTACCTCTGATGAAGGGTTTATTTCTGGCTAAAATGATTCCACAAGTGTTACACCTACTGAGTTTGTCTTTACCAACAGTGTTGCTGCCACAAATGTTCCAGCCTCAGAAAAGTCAGCTGATGCTGGAAAACCAAAAAAGACAAAGTGGCTCTTTGGTCACCCTGAGGTATGACACAGAGTCAGAGTATCATTTTAACCTCATTTCATAGACTTGTCAACATCTGTATTTAGACTTTTTATTTGTAAGGCATCACAAAAAATAGTTTGACATTGTTTATTCATATTATTGTTTTTCTTTTTACTCTACAGAAGAAGGGAACTAGTCCAAACCAGGATGTAGCAAGAAAGGAAAAGTATGAAATGTTATGCTGACCAAATCTTTTAGTTTTTTACTAACTCATTTAGTTAACCTCAGCAACAACAAAAAGGAGAAACCTCAAAATAAGTAACAAAACTTATTTAATATTGCTTTCAGTACCTGTCAAGAAGAAACTATCATAATTAATATTCATTTTATATATTTTCTAATCAAAATCAAATACTACTTCTCTGTTCTCAACAATCTGTGTCTTCTCCCAGCAGCAGCCCTGGAACATCAGACAAAATGAGCAAGCAGCAACAGTCGTTTTCTCAACAGGACAGCACAGAAATGTTCGACTTCTCGTTGCCTAACGTGACCAACACTGAAATCGCAAAGACGAGAGTGTGGTTCGAGATAAAATGTAATGGGTCAGTAAAATAAACCACCTCCACATTTACTTGTGATAGATTCTGAATCAATATCTTGTGCCACAAAAGCTCAAGATTTTTGATTTTGTCCACATTTCCAACCAGCGACCAGCTATGCCATTCTCTTGTCATGTTTATTGACCTTGTGTGTGTTTTCTTTTTCATTAGTGCCACCGAAATTTTTATCAGCGATTTTGTTATTAAAGCAACCGTCGACCGCTTTGGGTGAGTACAAGAACCAAAGTGGTAACAAATGATCCTCAGTTTGACACTGGTCAGTGAAAAATTGATGATGTTGATGTGTTGTCAACTTGTGTTCGTATGTCAGGCTTCCAAACGTTGGACAGAGTTGTTTTATGAATTCCATTCTGCAGAGTCTTCTAGGGCTGAAGGATTTTGTGAGGGACATAAGCTGCCAAGAGCACATCTGGAGTTCAGTCCCTCAGGCCCAGGTGTTGAGGTACAGCAATGTGTACACATATACACACACACACATACAAACTCCACAAACCTGAAGAACAAAATTAAGATATCTAACAGAAAACTCTTCTGTTTTCTTTCTCCCTATGCAGAAGATTAATGGACATCAGAAATGCTCACACTTCCACAAACGCTCTAATTAAAAGCATCGCCCTGAGTTTATTTAAGGAGGATGTGTCAGTCCAGGCACCCGAATTCAGTGATTGGAAACAAAAAGTGAGTCTGCTGGTGTCATCTTTTATGAGTTCATCTCTTCCTGATAGTTTCTTCACTGCGTATGAGCTCCTCTGTGTGTTTGTGTGTGTATGTTCAGGACGCTCATGAGTTCCTGATCTCGGTCCTACACCAGATGAGCAGTCTGTCCCCTCTGCTGAGGCAGGCTGCAGAAAGCATGGGCAGCAGCTACACCTGCCCTGTTGAAGATCATCTGATGTTCAAGATGGAGAATGTCAGGGTCTGCAAGAGGTACAATTATGAAAAACATCAGGCACATGTGTTAGTCTTATTACATTGTGAGTAAAATGTTATCATGACTGGAATTCTTCTTTAAACAATCTTAAAATCAGAAAGCAAACATAACAGTTTTCTCCTTCTGCTGTTGAAGATTATTGAGCATCATTCATTATTGAATTTGTTATGCTGTTAATATAAAGTCCTGTGGTCCCTTGTAACAAATTTAAACAGTGCAGATGGTTTTAAATGGCTGTGTTTTTAAATGTATTATTTCTTTTATGAGCAGCTGTGGGGCTGAGTCAAAGCAGCAAGAAGCATTTGCCAACCTGTCCCTGGATGTGATTAGTGGAGGCTCTGTGGAACAGATGCTCGAACAGTACCTGATGGTAACCTGTTCGCTTTCAGTCACAAAATTGCTGACTAAACAAACACATTTTTGTGTTTGAGTTTTGTCGCTCAGTTTATAGTACAAAGTATATTGTCTATGTGCTATTCTGCAGGAGACAGAGTTGGAGTACAACTGTGAATGTGGAGGGAAGCTATCAGGCCAGAGGTCGACCTTTGTAACCCTGCCAAAGTGAGTGACATCACATCCAGGATAAGCGATCTAACACCTGACATGAGTGGTTCCCAAATTGGGCTTCACTATCCCTAAGGGACCTTAAAATTCATAACAATCTAACAAAGTGATAAACAGAAAAGAGATATAACAGTAATTTTGCTGACTACCTGCCACCTTTCATTTCTCTCTTGATCTTTTACAGAGTGCTTGTTTTGCACCTAAAGCGTTTCAGCTTCAGCCCCTCCTTCAAGCCGGTGAAGGTGCAAGACCCCATTGTGCTGCTCAAGGACCTGGTTGTGTCCTCCACAGAGGTAAAGGAAAACTGAACTTACCTGAGAACAAGCCGAAACACCAGGATGATATGAAAGTAAATTTGGTGAACTGTGTGTGTGTGTCTGTGTCTATGTGTGTGTGAGAAGCTAACTCCTGTTAACTGCGTTCCTTCTCAGGATGGCAGCTGCTACAGCTTGGTCAGCATCATCAGCCACTTTGGCTCCACTGAACAAGGTAAGATAATCAGACACTGAAGGCTGAGTGGGATCTTCTGAAGTTGTCTGTCATGCACTCAGTTTATAGACAGCTAAGCGTTTTCAGCTGTGAGAATAACAACACACAATACGTCTTCTTACTGTGATGGAGTAGCTTGTGTCTGGAAAACTCCTTTAAGGTTTGGTCACAGTATCATTTAAAATGGTACATTATGAAGTAACTTCAGTTCATAGTAAAGAAAATAGAACCAGATTTCTGTTTTCACTGCGGGACAGTAGACAAAGACAAACATATGCATGATATCGATATGTTCCAAATCACTGTGGTCTGGTCTCAGCTGATCTAAGTGAACCTACATAACATGTGCAGAGTTAACAACAAGCTCTCTCTCCTGTTAGGACACTACATCTGCGATGCCGTCCATCCAGACAACAGTCCAGAGGAGCCAACTGACCGCTGGATCACCTACAATGATGCAGCGGTCTCTGGGACAACCAGTGAGTCCGTCTGTGAGCAGCGACAGAAGTCGGCCTACATCCTGTTCTACAAGAAATGTGTAGAAAGAAAACAAGCAAACAACTCTTTAACATCCTGTACTCACACTCACAAGGAGCAGAGCAGTTTATAACACTCCAACACCGCAGTAACTGTCAGTGGTTTGTTTGTATTGTTAGTTGTAGAACAGCATGTACAAAGTGGGATGGAGGCATATTTGGACTAAATCTAAATCAAATCAAATTTATTTATATAGCACTTTAAAAACATCCAGCTGACCAAAATACTTTACATGGGCAGAATAAAATCACAATAAATAGCAAAAATAAAATAAATAGGTTCAGTGCAAGAATAAAACACAATAACTCAGACACACAGATGACACACATTCAATAAATTAGATTAAAAGGAATGCATCAGGCCCTACTGTGTATTAAAAGCCAAGACAAATAAATATGTTTTAAGCAAGGATTTAAAAGTAGTTAGGTCAGTAGCTGATCTAACATTAAACGGTAGACTATTCCACAATTTAGGGGCTGCAACAGTAAAAGCACAGTCACCCCAACTTTTATATCTGGTCAGGAACCTCTAAAAGAAACTGGCTTGAAGATCTGAGGGACCTTGTAGGTTTGTGCCAATGCACTAATTCAGTGAGGTAAGATGGTGCCAAACCATTAAGAGACTTAAAAACAAAAATCAACATTTTAAAATCAGTTCTAAAACAGACTGGAAGCCAGTGGAGAGAAGCCAGAACCAGAAGCCAGAATGCTCAGATTTTCTGGTACTTGTCAGAAGATGAGCAGCAGCGTTTTGAACCATCTGAAGATGAGAGAGGGAGGACTGGTTAACACCATAGTATAGAGCACTGCAATAGTCAAGGCAGGAGGTGATAAAAACATGGATTGCAATCTCAAAATCATTAAAAGAAAAGAATGACCTGACTTTACTTAACAACCTGAGGTGGAAGAAGCTAGATTTCACAACTGAGTTGATTTGCTTGTCAAACCTTAACTCGCCATCAAACATCACCCCTAGGTTTTTTACAGTCGACTTCAGATGACGAGCCAGGGGGCCCAGACCCTGGTCAGAAGAAGTTAAGTTCAACAAGTCTCCAAAAAGCACACGCTCAGTTTTATTTTCATTAAGATTTAAAAGGCTAAGTGCCAGCCATGATTTCAAGTCTGTCAAACAGTCAAACAATGACATCCCTCTCGTTGCCTTCAATGGTAAGTATAACTGAATGTCATATGCATAACAGTGAAAAGAAAGATGTCCATGCAGATTCTTAGTCATTCAGGTCATAGTAAGCTGAAAAAACTGGACTACTGTAGGTTTTGGATGAGAGGTGAAACGTCTTCGACATAAAACCTAGTCCAGTTGATTTTTCTAAGTTTTTTCAGTGAAAAGAATGGCCATATTTCTTTAAGACAGATCCCAATGGAAGCATGTACAGTAAGAACAAAATGGGATCAAGCACAGATCCTTAGGGGACACCACAGGAAAGGATAAACAGGTACCAATATTAACAATAAAACTTCTATTGGTGACATAAGATCGAAAGCAGTTAAAAATAGTACCTTGAATTCCTACACACTGCTCGAAGTGAGATAAGAGGATTCCATGATCCACTGTATCAAAGGCAGGTGTGAAATCTAAAAGCACCAATAAAACCGAATCCCGGCGTCCCTAGCCAAAAGGATATCATTACTGATTTTTAATAATGCTGACACAGTATTATGTTTTGATTTAAAACCAAAGCCACAGACAACGGCGCCATCTTGGACTAAGGACCTCCAGCAGATGAGATGCCCGGAGCTGGGACCTGAACATGCCTGCAGCCAAACATCAAGTGCCAGGTTCCTGAACTCTGCAGGTGATGAGCACAGACGTTGATGTAGAACACTGGAGGATGGATGACACAGATACCACATGGCCAGGAGCAGCCAGAGGTCCCACAGCCTACAGGAGGACTGGCCCCCAGAGAGCCAGGTCCCTCCCAAGGTTTTTTCCTCTCAGAGGGAGATTTTCTTGCCACCTCACTCACAGGCCTATGTTGGGGGCCCTCCCATCATGCTCTGAGCTCCTCTCCTCCCCTTCCATCTCCTCTTCATGCATTTATATGCCACCATTACATGTCATTAACTTTGTGTCGCCTTTCTCTCTGTACCTTTCTGCAGGTACTCCAGGCTGCGGAGGCGTATGTTTCTGATTAGCAGTCATCGGCCACCTCAACCTGTCCACTGTTTGTTTGTTTGTTGTGCCTTGATGTCCTTCTTTCTATCCTTTTCTCTCTCCTGTAGCCACTCACCCCAGCTGGTCCCCCACCAAGAGCCAAGGTTTGTGAGAGGTTAAAGGGAGTTTTTTCCTCTCCACTGTCGCTCAAGGGGGATTTATCAGCTTTACCCTATAATACTGTGAGGTCTCAACTTTACTATGCAAAGTGACCTGAGCTGATTGTTGTTATGAATTGGTGTTATACTGCCAAATACATTGAAATTGACAAATAAAACTGAATTGAACTTATTAGATTTGATTACTTTTGGATTATTTTTCTAACAGATGTTTTAAACAGGGCAATAAAACTGAAAGGCTATAACAATATGCAGCCTACTGGATAGCACCGAGCAAAATATAGAGCTAGATTACAACTTGAACTCACATAAATAACATGCATAAATGACAATAAAATTTAAATCAGAAGAGCAGCTGCTGTTACACTGATTCAAAGATTCCACAATTCAGACATTAAACTACTGTAAATAAGATATTTCCTCTTACTACTTTGTTGTGTGATAGATGTTGTCTAAAAATCTAGTTCAGTGTTTTGCACTCTGTTCCAAAATGGGGAACGCTGCAATGCTTTTATGGAACAAAATTTAGACTCAGCTGTGAATAACAGTTAATACATGTCTTAATGTCAATTTCATCTTCAAAGTGTTTATTTTGTCATATGCACAGTTAGGAAACATGTTTCCCTGTACAATGAAATTCTTACTTTGCCGTCCACATGAATGCCACAAAATACAAATGAAATATAAAGTAGATAAATAACATAAAATCTAAGGCACAAAATCTAAGGCACTTTAGGGAACACAAAGGCAGCAATATACACTGCTCAAAAAAATAAAGGGAACACAAAGATAAGACATTCAACTATGTTGTGCTCCCTTTATTTTTTTGAGCAGTATAGTAGAAAAAAATATGCAAGAATATAACAATGTATGCTGCATGGGAGCAGCATGTGGAGCAGTCAACAGTCATTGTGCATTATCCATGTGCAAACTGAGAATGTACATCACATATTTCCTGGTAATAAACTCCTCAGCTGTTTAGGAGTCTGATGGCAGAGGGAAAGAAAGAGTTTTTCAGTCTAGTGGTCCTGCATTTCACACTTCTGAACCCCAGGCCAGAGGGCAAAGAAGTGAACAGTCCGTGGTGGGGGTGGATGAGATCTTTGAGGATCTTGGGGTGAATCTTTACATGGAAAACACACTAGTAGAAGAGCAGAGCAAAACAATGTTTTATGTGAACATGTAAATAATTTATCAGCAAATCAGAAACATCAGATAAATTGTTTTCACACCAGAAATATCACAACCCTGAAAAGACCTATTGCACTTTCTGGAAGCCCAGTGTGTTTCTGTGTTGGTATTTCTGTTGTTTGAACAGATGCTGCACTTTCACTACAACAAACCTATCAGCAAAAAAACACTGGTAAAGGTGAATGTACAAGTGTGTGAGTAAATTACCATGGAATTTTCTTAGTTGTAGTTTACGTCAACCCGCTGAACAAGCTGAGAAGTTCTCATGGAGGTAGGTGTAGGTGCTGCTGTCCTCCAGGTGGAGGTGGTGTAGCAGCAGCAGAGCAGCAGGTCTGTGAAGGTTTCTGATGGAGTAAGAAGACAGAGCAGCAGCGGTGACGCTGTTGTGTGATGTAAAGATATAATGTTGGAGTGTGTGTGCTGTGACTGTAGTTCACTGGTGGGTGTAAAAAGACCGGGTCTCGTTGTGTTACTCAGGCTGCACTACAGCGTCTATTCACGGGCGCGATCCCACTACTGAGCGGCACGGGGGCTTTGACCTGCTCCGTTTCCGACCTGGACCGGTGCACCCCTCCTTAGACGACCTGCTGGTCCCGGGCTCCCCCAGGAGCACCATATCGATACCGAACTTAGTGCGGACACCCGATCAGCGTAGCCCGCTGCAGCTCAGAGCTCCTGAGCTCAAACGATCCTCCAGCCTCAGCCTCCCGGTAACTTGGATTACAGGCGCGCGCCACCGCACCCGGCGATGAACGTGTCCGTTCACCAGGCTTTAGACTCTGGTGTCGTGACGTCATCACGGAGCACACTGCAGCGTCGGATAATAAAACTACAGCTACAGCGATGGAGACTGTTTTCACTGCTAAAACGCTGTCATGAAATATATAATAAACCTGCAGCCGCAGCAGAGTCACAGCCTGATCGTCTCTACAAACCCCAGTCACTGATTAAGGAGGAATGACCTGGTATGAACTGGTTATTTTCAAATAGGTGATGTAAGTGATTTCTTTGTGTTGCCATGTTGGGAAATAGATAGGGTTATTATGCAGTTGAAAATCAGGGTTGTGCCAAATTGAAGTTGATTCAGTGACTTTGTTTACTTTCTAGCAGGCTGTCAGAACTGAGAGGATTGTGATGTTCTTACATTAATTAATTTTCTTAATAGAGTTTGGTACGAAGGAAAGGTCTGCAACTGAGTTATTTGAGTTATTTTTGCAGTAATTTTGCTCTAATTCTATTCATGCACTGTTATAGCTGTCCTTCTGAATCCATTTGACTAAATACTGCAGCTGATTTGCCAAGTACTGGAAATTTGGCTCTTCTAGGCCATCTAGTGATTTCTTCTTTTGAAGTGTAGATAGGGAGATTTTGGGTTTGCTGTTTTTCCAATAAAATTGTGAAGTTATAGAATCAAGTGATTTTAAACCATTTATCTGTGGATGTTGTGGGAAGCACTGTAAGCAGGTAGTTCATTTCAGGTAGAGTTTTCAGTTTGACAGTAGCTATTCGGCCGATGAGTGAAAGAGGAAGATTGGACCAGTGTTTGAAATCATCTTCTATCTTTTTTTAGCAGGGGGGTGTAGTTAAAACGTTCTGACAACCTGAGCGAGATATTAATACCAAGATATTTAATGCTGTCTGTGCTGAATTGGAGGGAGGAGTCTTGAGCAGCAGAACCCCAAGCATCCGCAGAGAGTAGTAGTATGGTGGATTTATTCCAATTTATTGCATAGTTTGAGATCTTAGAAAATGTGTTAATAATGTGTAAAGTTTCCTTTAGAGAATTATAGGGATCCTGTAAATATAATAATAAACAAGAACAGTTTTTAAGATTTTTTCTGTGTCAAAGTAATTAATTGATACAGGCTACAATCAATGATAGGCTAGGCTACAAAAGAGGAACTATTAATAACTAATTTAGCATAGGCCTAGTCAATTTTGGTCACAGGTGTAACTCACTGAATCTAATATACTGTATCAACATTATAGTCTACTTCCTAATCCTTTTAAAAGTGTACATCTGTAGTGTACATCTGTTTACATACATGTCCTTTACTGTTTAATGTAACATTTTTCAAAAATACTTATGCTAAAACACAATTATATTTACATTTAACCTCGTATTGTTAGGGTCCTAGATGGTTTTCTGGTAATTATTCAAAACTCACTTGTCCTATATGGATGCAATGCGCTATGTACAGTTCATCCCACTGCATATAGGCTATCTGAAATCAAAGCTTCTTGCCAAGTCAAGTTAGCAAGCAGGTATTTTACGTATTATGTACTCTCAGTGTCTCACCAGGTAGGCTTTGGATAACATGCAGTATATTGTTTATTAACTGGTGTTATCATTGAATAATTTGAGGTTAGAAGCATGACCTTTGCCTCTTTAGACAATTTAAACTAAAATTAGCTGACCTTTATTTGAACGCCCCTAAGTTGTGAGAGGAACAGCATTTATTTTACAAAAAAAGCTCCAATTAATGAAGTTATTTCATTTTTATACTTCCTTCTTGAATGACAGACAAAAGCGGTGCAAAATGTAAGTAATACATGGCGATTCTGATGTTGCATCACTGTACAAGTTGGGGAAAATAAGTTTTTCTTTATATGAACAACAGATCATTTGTTTTATTGACATTTTAGTAGAAAGAGACGATCACAGCACAAAAAACACAGTGTTGAAGGGTCCTCATTATCTCAAACGAAGCCTAACTGGATGTGTTTACAGAACACATCATGATTATATAAATGAAGTTGTTCATACAGTATATTCATAAAATAAGGTTTTCACCTCATGGCTTGTCAGTAACAAACACCTCCTTAATTTTCCAGTGGTAACAGTGAAAGAAATCTTTTGAGCTTAGTAGAAGAAAATACATTCTACTCAAAGAGCATTTTCCATTTTAACAAATGTCAGTTTGATTGCATACTTTCTGCTTTATCATCTGCTTTCTGTGCCAAAGCGTGTAACTCATACATGATCTTAAAGCTCTACTGAACAGCCAGCTACTACCATCACCAACTTGGTCATGTCAGTGGTGAACATCTCCATGAACCACACTGTAAAGGACATAAGACAAATGATGAGATAAATGTACAGTTCACTGTGGAGAACTTTAATATTCTCAGGAGCATTAACAAAAACCTGTTCATCATACAAAACAGTTTTCTTAAAAATAGGTCCAAACAATTACAGCAAAATAAAACAGTTAAAATCTAAAAATGAAAATTCTTAAGACAAAGCATCTTCCAGAGCTTCACATAATCAGACTTGGTAGACTTCATTAACTGTGAGACAAAGAGACACAAAAAATTAGTAGGTGTAGAGTAATATGACAAACCTTTATCTTTATATGTATTACTTTAATTTTAGAATTGGATAAAAATAGAGTGCATCAGAGGCTTAAATTTTTCTTTGTGATGTGGTGGTGAAGATATTTTCCACAGGCCACAAGTTTCAACCATAAGGAGTTTGTTAGTGGGTGACTTTCACATTGTATTATCCCCATCTGTTCACCTGCTCTGTGCTTTCGTCCACTTCAGGGCGTGTCTCGGAGGCACCGATGTGGTTGGGTGGTAGAAGGTACATCCGGCGCGTTTACACTGCGCCGCGAAGCGACAAGGCTGTAGGTATGAAGATCAAAGATTAAGTGTTCATAATTTAAAAGCCTGAATAAAAGTTAAACAAACCTTTCTCTTGCAACAAATCTTAAATACATTCAAATGACTGCTAGGCAGAGTCCTGCACCGGATCAGGTACCCGCAAAGAATGATGTGTAAGGGGTAAAAAATTTTTATATTAATTGTCACTCAGACATCAACGTCAGCTAGGCATCAATATGTCAAACTGGATGTCCTAAAAGTGAAAACAGCAGGCACTGAATATAAAATTGTGGACAATACATCATGGAATTCCAAGTTGGACACATAGGAAAAATTCAGTGGTTACAGAGAGTGAGGACAGCAATATCAGAAACTTTGCTGCTTGTAAATAGTGCCAAAAAGTGTTAGCATGCGATAGCCACAAGCTAGGCACTTCCTCAATAAGCTAAGGGAATAGCTGCAGAGCCCCGGTGCTGTCTCCATTGACAGATATATTTCCAAGAATCTCAAGCACTTTAAAGTGAGTGACTGCATAGCTTAAAGGCAGTTTTAAACACGGGTACAGGTCAGGTCACAGGTCTTATGTTAACAGGCCGAGTCCAGATTTCATTTTCGAGATAACTCCAGGCAACGGGCCGGGTCTGATATGGAGTTTTGCAGATGTGGGTTTTCAAAACTGGACCCATACAGGACTCTGCTGTTAGGTAATCAAAGCTTCAAAGATGCACCTCAGAAGGTTTTACCTTGGGATGATAAAACAGACAGTCCACTTTCTTGCACTCAGGGAAAAAACGACACACACTCACAGTCTGCACTGGCTGCATTGCTGTGAACACAAAGTTAAATCTTAAAAACCCCTCAACAAACTACAGATAGCTGCTAAAATAAAGCTAAGATCTGCTTTATAATGGCACTTGCTGATGATATCATGAGAGTGAGAGTACCTGGCTTAGGTGGAGGAGCAGCTGTGCCTCTGCGGCTGACATGAGTGAAGGGACAGTCTGGCTTGGTACACCTGGCGTCATATTTGCAGTTAGGATGGACAAAGAGGCATTTATCCCCAAACTTGCAGTTAGGAAAAGTCCTTTAAAAACACAAAAATTAATAAGTAATGACTGAAAGTGGTAACATGTCTATTATCGTTGCTTAAATGTATTAACAAAGAGACTTACTTGCACTGTGTTGTAGGGTGGTGGTACATACACTCATCTCCACTTTTACAGACAGGCCAGAACTTGCAACGCTCCATAACTTTCTGCTTCTTTAAAGGGACGATGTCCTCATCTGCCATATCAACTTCCATCACATCATCTGTCAAAAGAAAACATAGTGTAGATGAAATGAGTGATGTAACTGAATATAGTAAAAACACAACCCTTTACCAAAGCACTTCTGAAATGTGTTCTATTATTGGAGTACTAAAATACAATACAGACACAGTAAATATTTTGGCAGGACCCCACACCTCCTGATGATGTAACCCCTCCCTGAAGCCTGTTAAGGACGCTGGTTTTGGGCTCCCTGTTGAGGCTGACAGTCGCCTCAGTGACCTTTGTGGGTGGTCTCACGTCTTCCAGCTCCATGTCACAGTCAGCAAGATTCCCCAGCAGGCTTGGTACCCCATCCAATGTCACTATGAACTTGGGGCTAATATAGTCACCCCTCTCCTTACTAGTGTCAGAGAAAAAAAAATCAGCAGAGAAGATAAGACTAAATGAAATCTGAGGCAATACCGAAAATAGATGAGTGGATGTGTATCTGTACCTAGCCTGGACAGTGCGTGGTAAAGCATGCGGGACTTCCTCTTTGAGCTGAAGACGCTGCTGAGGTCTGGGTTGAGATACCTCCAGCTGAGCTCGGCTCATTATGAAAGAGCGGGTGTCAAATGTCTTTGCTTCACTGCCTGCAGGAACCTCAGTGCCTAGAGGCACATGACAGATGCAGACATCCCACTGTTACTATTTTTAAAATGTTCTATGCTGAGTAAATATTTGTGAGAAGGAACTTTTATTGAAGCACTTTCCTAAACTTGTCCCATAAAGGCAACAAGGACTCACCATAGTCACGCTGCTCTCTTCCGTCATTGCTCTCTGCTAAGTCCAGCTGGAGGCGTGAAGCCAAGGATCTGGCTGGAGCTAAAGACAAAACAATACAGGATGGCCAGACTTTGTTCCTCTTATAGTTAATTTCTATTTTCTAATCTAAAAAGCCCCTGAAACATACTGAAATACAACACAGTTTAATTCAGTTCTGGTATTAATTCAATTGAATGAATCAGTTACCACATCATTCTATTTACATTACTGTAGGTTTAGTCATATGTCAAAAACTATGTCAGATTCCCCAATTATCCCTATAAACAGAAGACTGAAACAAATTTTTCATTTCCTTCACTACACAGTAAGTATGTTAATGTGATTCTGGTTTTTGGATGGTAGGTGTTTAAAGCAGTGCCCAGTAAAAGCAAGTCTGCATGCTGTATTAATACTGTTCACATACCAGGTGTTCTTGATGGAGGTAGCACTGCAGAGGTGTAGGCTTGTGCTCGGGGGGCCAGGCTGTGGAGATGCTCCTGAACCAACTGGATTGCTGCTGTCATCTCCTCGCTGCTGGCTAAGCGAGTACGAGGCGCCACAGGAACAGTCTGCCTCTGTGGCACTGTGAGAAGAGGCCCGTGTAAGAAAGTGATAATGACAACTCAGATAAATGGCTGAAGGTTAAACTACAGAATGTTTATGGTAACACAAAACATACTTGCAGTGTAGGCTGTAGTTTTGGTGATTGAGTCCTGTGCCTCAGAGATGGCCTTGAGTATCAGATTCCTGTTGGCTTGCTTGGCTGGAGGGAGAGTGGGTCTGAAAGAACAAAGAAAACCCAGCAAAGAATATCAGTTCTCTGGGTTCCACTTCTTCCCTTTTTAAACAGGATTTCACACATGGATTTTCCACATCAATTTAGTTTTAACCATGAATTACAACCCTGGCTTGTGCAGTAATTACACAGTGCATATGACTTAATGTTCTAAAGCACCACATGAACTGTTAACACTGACTTGCGCTCTGGTTTGGATGGCAGGGACACTCTACTGGACAAGCCTCTTCCTCCATAGTTTGAATCCTCCTCTTCCACATCGTCACTGTCCTCGTCTGCAGCTCGGTTCACTCGCACCACAACCTTATTATTATGGATTTTATCTATAGTTATTCAACACCTTGTCAACAAAAAGTGAGAATTGTAATTAAAGGTCATGGTACCTTACTGGAGCTGGTTCTGGAGGCTCTGCTGCTTCTGCTGTCCTGCTGCCTGGTGTGAGAGGACCCTTCTATGGCCCGGACCGTGTCCACAGAGCCAACTGATGTAAATTTGCTCTGACTCATTCTGTAGATTTCCGTTGTGGGTCTACTAGCTGTACCACGTGTTCGTCTGTGGTTGGTGCCCATTTCTACAGGTTCCTCAGCAATAAGGTCATCATCCATCTCCGGTTTGATATCAATAACAGCCTCTGAGGGGAGCAGCTCCATGAGGGGTTTTACAGTGGAGGTAAGTCGAGAAGAACTCATCTCTGAGGTCCCCCTCCTGCAAACAAACACATATGAATTCATGTTCTTCATTTACAGAATCTGGAATTTGTGGCATTAAAGACAATGTCACGTAAAAAGTGCTTAACAACGCATTAGACACCTGCTGTCATGTGCAGAACTAGACACACGCGCTTCAGTCCTATCAGCACCAGAGCTGGACACTGTCAACACCTTCGCCTCCTCTGTTCTGCCATCTTCACTTACAGACAGTCGACTCTTCCCAGCCACATTACTGCTGTCAGAATGGAGCTGATGTCTGAGGGATGCAGGCTCTAAAACAACCATGCATACAAGCAGGAAAAGATAACTCAAGCTAAACTACATTTCCAAAGCCACATGTGATCATAATTCAACAAGTCTAACTTTCCCAGAGCATTTTATTTAACAGAGGCTGACTTACCAACTGCAACAGATCTTAATTTCTCCAGGACACCATGTAACCTAAAAGTAGTGAACAGATTCATAGTATCACAAAAATAGATACAATACACAAGGAGAATGTCTGGGCTAAATGTGCACACCCCTCTTGTAAAACGAAAACAGCAGAGACATTGTTTTGCCCATACCAGGCTGTGAACTTAATTGTGTTGTTTCCGAGGAAAAGAGAAAGATCGTCAGCCATCTGTTGGGAGGTCTTCTTGTTCGCCACCATCACCATAATATAGTCGGGAAGCTCTTCATCTGAAATGGTCAAGAGAGCAAACACCAACAGCATGCAACATTAATGTTTGTTGTATCAAGCAGTTCTGGTCCCTGACACTACGATATGAATTTTGTTAACTTACCAATATACGCTCCAAGCTCTTGAAGCTTGCTCTTGATAGCAGCCTGAAACCAACCAAAATAACATTACAGTACAGACACTGTCATCTAAGCAAATTACGCACAACACTCCGATAAATTTAAAAAGTTCACGGCCGACTACAAAACACTACGTTACATGCCATATTCGTTTCCTTGAATTCAAACAACGGTGCTAACACGTCTGCTCTAACTTTTCAGACGACGAAAAAAAGCCTTTACCTGCCCTATTCTGCTCGACTGACAAATTAAGCTAGCAAGCTAACGCTAGCTAGCAGCGTCTTTAGTGCGCTAACATTAACTAGGCTCTGATGTCCAGAGCAAATCGCTCATATTGAGTTCATAATGTTACTCACTCTTATTTTCTTGCTAATCTCTGTCCCAATCTCCATGTTTATCGTTTTCAGTCAAGAAAAAAAAAATAAGTTCTGGCAGCAGATTTTTCCAGCTCCACCGCTAGCTACCACTAGGGACTAATGTGACGTTGAATCACGTGAGTGACGAAGGTAGCCGAGAAAGGACAATATCTATCTATCTATCTATCTATCTATCTATCTATCTATCTATCTATCTATCTATCTATCATGTTTCCTCTGTGATAAAAAAATGAGTGGTGCCCTGTAATATCCTAAAACTCCTCCTTAAATAAACATCCATGTATCTAACTTGAAAACTAAATATTTATCTTTTGCAAAGAAATTTCTGAGCGCCTGCACAGATGACATAACTGTACAAGTAGCTGTAATAATGTACTGTACATTACTAAACACTTGTCCTAATTTACAACCATGTTAATCCTAAATAGGGGGACCTATGGTATTACCAATAAAACATTAATTGAAAAAAAAATTTGAGCATCCATATTGTCCATAACATATATATATATGGAAGACTGGAAAAGTCTTCTCATTCATCCAGGTTTCAATAACAAGCTTATATGTATGAAGGTGGTATCTTGTTTCAAATTTTTATGTGAATGACCAATGGCTTACAGTGAATTTTGTTAGGACTGTTGCTGTTCTTAAAAGGAAATCATCAGCAATAATCACACTATAACGAAGATATCTGTCTCAGAAAGCTGCATAACCTTTTGTTGAACTGTAGTTGTTCTGTGCAGTAAACTGGATCTGAATCTGTTGAGGATCTGAAGATCCATGTTTGCTGTGAACATAGATTAAGTCAGATGAAAACACTATATATTTCTGATCTTGTAAACATCTCTTCATTGGCATATAAGCATAAGCATGATGAGTACTTCAGCTCTGAATGCTGTAGCCACAAGATGGCACAAGACACCATCAAGATCCTAGTGGGGAGAAATCACACTAGATTTCTCCCCACTAAGACAAAACTTATTCCATGAATGGATGTTTTATTCCAATAAACAATTGCAAAAGCAAATGGCAAATCATTCCTATAGTGAATTCATACAGAGTGGTAAAAAAAGGATACAACGTTTCATAAATTAGGCTTAATTCTGTAAAACTAATAGTAGACTCTATACGTCATCTTGAACAATCTGTTTGGTATTTAATTAGCAAGTTGGTAGAACTGATTTGTGTTACATTTTAGTACAAAAAGGAAAGGTGCATGAACCATCCCTGGCTTGCAGTTTACTATAACACTCAGACAATGTTGCAATTTCTATAAAATTTAATTTAAAATAACATTCAAGTAACTATTGCAGCATGTGTCTTTGACTTTCTAATGTCCTTAGCTGTATGTTTTCCCTCACATTTCCTGTTTTCCAGCCCCTAATGCCAACCAACAATGACAGGAAGAATCTTGTTTGCTGTCTAGACAAGCGTCTAACACACTCTCAGCGCCAGCTCCCTTTCTCTGTCTGCTTTTGTTCACACTGTCTGTGTTCATTAATAATGATGCGGATCTTGTTTCACATGTGGAAATATCCACTTCTTGTCTGAATAAATAAAATAAAATAAAAAAAACACTAATACTGACCTTAACATTTCTTCTGCAGATCCATAATTGTCATGTCAGTATTATTGTCAGCACTGTCACCACAGTCATACAGTACTTTTTATACCAAAAATATCACCAGGAAGCCATGTACATATACCAAAGCACAAGTAAATAAGTAAGTTTATTTATATAGTTCTTTTCAAGAGCAGACATCACATCACAATAACAAGAACCATGAAATAAAAGCCAGAGAAACAGACACTGAATGCACATACGTATAAATAAACACGTTAAAACATTTTTAACAAATATGAAATGAGATATTAAAAACTAAACAACAGCACATCCAAACAAGTGAGTCATGAGCTGCTTTTAAAATTCATCCACAGTGTCCTTAGAGCTCAAGTCCAATGGGAGAGAGATCCAATGTTCAGGAGCTACAACCTAAAAAGCAGAGTCTCCTTTTATCTTGAGCCTGGAGCAAGGGACAACCAACAAGCCTAAGACCTCAGATTCCTTCTGGTGATGTAAAGCTACAGTGTGTTTTGAAAATAGGCAGGTGCCCAACCATGCAAGGCTCTAAATGTAATTCCAAGAATTTTGAACTCAATTTGGAATCTGATGGGAAGATGGTATAAAGAAATTAAAATAAGTGTAATATGAAAGCTTGTTGAGGCCTTTGACAGCAGTGTTTTGGACCATTTGTATGTGATCCAAGGAATGCAGATTAAAATGGAATTACAATAGTCAAGACTAAATGAAATGAACACATGAATGATCTTCTTCTCAGCAAGGGACATGATGGGCCTAGGAGGAAGCATGTACAAAGTAAATAGAATGGGACCTAAGACAGAACCTTGGGGAACACCACAAGACAGAGCTGCAGCTGATACAGCAGTTTTGAACTGTAAGATGAGAATTACTCAGAGAAACCCATCCATTACCTGAGCCTTTCATCCAAGATATGATGGTCATCTCTATCAACACTCACCTTTCAATGGATAATTTGAGTCAAACTGGGACTCATTAGGAATATTGCTTAATGGCAACTTTACTAATTTGCCATGCACAATTATTGCCAAGGCTAGGCAGGAGTGGAAGAGTTTGAGGGTGTGACAAGAGCATTTTTGTAAATTTGTTTTCAAAGAGGACCTGATGTTATCATCACATCACTTGATGCTACCTTGAGACTAACTATTTCTTAGCAAAAAAGAAAAACAAACATCTGGAATCAGTAAATGTGGGCAGCTTCCTGGTGTTATTCTTGTTGTCACTTTAAAGTTAAAATGTTTGCTTCCACTGTGTCTGTAGAGACCAACTTAATTTTGCAACCCATGCTGAACAAATATTTTGGGAAACTGCATAATCATTTATTTGTGAAAAACCTTGAACCGCCACCTTATTGTGGTGGAGGGGTTTGAGTACCCGGGTGATCCTAGGAGCTATGTTGTCTGGGCTATATGCTAGATCCTAGGTGACGGGTCAGACTAAGAGCAGTTCAAAAAGCCCTTATGAATAGAATTCTATCAAGGACCGTGACGTCGCCCGGCATGGCGCAGCCGGGGTCCCACCCTGGAGCCAGGCCCGGGGTTGGGGCTCGAATGCGAGTGCCTGGTGGCCGGACCTCCCCTTACAAGACCCGGCCGGGCTTAGCCTAAATGAGCAGCGTGGGGATGTCCTCTCGTGGGCCCACCACCTGCAGGAGGATCCACAAGGGGCTGGTGCACAGTGGATTGGGCAGCAATTGAAGGCAGGGGCCCCAACGATCTGATCTCTGGACACGGAGACTTGCCTTGGGGACATGGAATGTCCCCTCGCTGGTGGGAAAGGAGCCCGAGCTTGTGCGGGAGGTTGAGAGGTACTGGCTAGATATAGTCAGGCTCACCTCCACGCACAGCTTGGGCTCTGAAACCTTACTTCTCGAGAGAGGCTGGACTCTCCACTACTCTGGAGTTGCCCGCGGTGGGAGGCAGCGGGCTGGTGTGGGCTTGCTTATAGCCCCCCAGTTTAGCCGCCATGTGTTGGAGTTTACCCCGGTAAATGAGAGGGTCATTTCCCTGCGCCTTCAGGTTGGGGATAGGTCTCTCACTGCCATTGGTGCCTATGGGCCGAATGGCAGTGCAGAGTATCCGGCCTTCTTGGAGTCCCTGGGAAGGGTGCTGGAAAACTCCCCGACTGGGGACTTCGTTAATCTACTGGGGGACTTCAATGCTCACGTGGGTAGCGACAGTGACACCTGGAGGGGCGTGATTGGGAGGAACAGCCCCCCCGATCTGAACCCGAGTCGTGTTCTGTTATTGGACTTCTGTGCTAGTCACAGTTTGTCCATAACAAACACCATGTTCAAGCATAAGGGTGTCCATCAGTGCACGTGACACCAGGACACCCTAGGCCGGAGGTCGATGATTGACTTTGTGGTTATTTCATCTGTTGTCTTGGACACTCGGGTGAAGAGAGGGGTGGAGCTGCAGACTCGGCAGACCCAACCGTATTGTGAGGGTCTGTTGGGAGCGTTTGGCAGAATCCCCTGTCAGAGAGATCTTCAACTCCTGCCTCCAGCAGAGCTTTGACCAGATCCGGGGGGAGGCTGGAGATATTGAGTCCAAGTGGACCATGTTCTCCACTTCCATTGTCGATGCAGCCATTCGTAGGTCGTAAGGTCTCCGGTGCCTGTCATGGCGGGAATACCCCAACCCC